AACTTAGATTGATTTTGCCTCGGGCTTGTTGAATTTCTGTACCTAGCCCCTGAATGCCACTCTAACCTCCTTCTTCTGCCCAATTTTCTGTTCTGCTCTCTGCCTGTGATTTGATAGCAAAGGTGTAGCAAATGTCTTAGAGAATCCAAGAGGGAGAAAGCCCTCTAGAAAGCCATCTCTACACCTCAGGACCTAAGGTATAAGTGACAGTGAGCAGTGCTGAGCCATCTATGGAAACTAGATTATTGCAGAAATCATTAATAAAGAGTAGGAGGCTCATATCTAATTTAATTATATTTTCATGTGATCCATAATTTATTAATTTTAAAATTAATTAACTTTTATCAGCTGCTGGCGAGGAAATACAGATTGATGCCTCTTATACAAATTACATTCTTTTCTGATGATGTTTTCTCCTCCCTTTTCTTCTTTCATCTTCTCTTTTTGGTGGATTTTCACAGAAGTGATTCTGATTCAATTATCAAAAGGATGTGTGCTGCATATGAAAAGCTGCTTGAAACACTTCATAACTTTTTCTCTCAAGATACTAGAGGAGATGGCTAGTTCAGTGGGAAGCAGGAACCAGAGTGAGAGAGCCAGAGAAGTGAGATGGTTGGGTTTCAGAGGCAGGCTTAGGGAAGTAGAGAAAAAGAGGCTCAATTTACTTACCCTTCCCTTGCACTTTCACTTGGATAAAGTTCTTCCTTCCAATGCTAAACTAAGACACACAGCCTCTGAGATGGCTGCGTTCCTTGGTGGATGAAGAAATCCATGTCTGTAGTCCCTCTGTCATTATATTTTTATGAAGGACTTTAGGCAGAGAGGTAGTTAGCTGTATTACTCTGAAGTCAGATAGACAGTAGGCAGGGTAGCACCTTAGAGACTCACTGGTTCAGGGATGCCTGAGCTTGTGAAGGCAACAACCTACTTTGTTAGACGCTATAAATTATGAATATGAAGTAGGTTATTGGCTGTAAAAGCTCATGTCTGTCTGAACCAGTGAGTCTCTATGGTGCCACCCTGCCTACCATCTGTCTGACTTCAGAGTCACCCTGCCCTACTTTCTGTGTAAAGGACTTTGTGATCCTTCAGCATCACTATAAGGGATCAGTGCCAATAGTATTAGACTACAAAGAAAGGAAGGATGGCTCAGGGAAAGGGACTGATGGGGATGAAGGAGCAGAAAAGAAGGCAGCTAAGAAGACAGATTGAAATCAGAGCATGTAGGACTGTTCAAAGAGTCAGGCAAAGGCCTAACTAGGGTTTGATTGACTTTTTTACTTGCTCATGTCATGGATAACACTAACTTCCTTCTTCATATACACACCTGTATATAATTAATCTCTTCTTCCTCTAGTTTGCTTTTTTCTAAAATACAGTAGAACAGTAACTACTCGCATCTGGTGGCTCACAATCTGCTTAGTACGCAATGGATTGCCAAATTAAAGACAAGCCACATTGTTGTTTGCTGCAGCTTTGATTTAAAAAAAAGTCACTCCTCTACTTAGCTGGAGCTCACTAGTGTCCTGTGCAGCTGATCAGCTAAGCAGTACACTTTGCAATCGAAGGTACAGGAAATACCTGGAGCACCACAGCAGTCCTGCACAGTTCTGGGCTACAGCTGCACACCTAGCTAGTTCACAAGCCCTCATATTTGCAGGGGAGTAAGGGACCCAACCCTTCAAAGCATCCAAGTTCTATGAAAGCTATAAAATATGCCTGTGATCCAGATTTGTAATTGCATTCAGGGCAAGGTTTTCAAAGCAACTTTATTGGGATAAAAATGGCTTTTAATGGGCTGAGGCTGAACACCTTCATATGGTTTGCTGTTTTTGTGCCTTTTTCTTGTCAAGTTAATTTCCATGTTTATCTAAGAAAAGATCATTTGAGATGAAATGGATTAAAAGGAATTCAAAGTGTGTACGTTACTCTTGGCCAATCTACTGATGAGCTTGATTTCCCTTTTTTTTTTCCTTGTGGTTTTCCCTTTGCTGAGGATGCAGAAGAAAAAGCTAAAAGAGAAGCAGAGGAAAATGCTCACCAGGGTACAGATGAAAAGAATACAGAAGACAAAGATGAAAAGACGCCAGCTGAGGATGCCACAGCAGCCAACTCAGAAAACAGCAAAGAACCAAATCCAGGGGAAAGCAAGAGCGCGGAATCCAGCAAGAATCCTGTAAATGGGACTCGGCAGACTGGTGTGAACAAGCACGAAGCCTCTCAAGGGAAAAATGCATCTAGGACAGGCAAGGGAACTGATTCACAAGCAACAGGAGAGGAAAAACAGCGTGTCCAGAACGGTAAGTTCTTTCCCTGATTCGTTAAACCCAAGCCCAAGGCCAGTTGTCTCATCTAGGTTTGGGAGTGATCCATGAAAAAGAAGGTCCTGGTGTGTTTTTGTGGAGGCTGCTCCAGTTAACAACTGGAGTCATCTCCTTGTTCCTGTGGGAAGTGGCAGATGAAGTCCTTGGAGTTGGACTGTGGAAGCTCCTGCGGAGAAGGTTAGCTGACCCCTTGAAGAATTATTCTTGTGCAGTTGGGGCCCTTTTCCCCAGAGGTAAGGGCCAGGTGTTGCTCCCACACAGAAATGCCATTGTACAATTGGGAATATTGTACAAATACTTTGTACAATAGGGAAACTGAAATAGTGTTCTGGGGCAATCCTCAGCTTCATGGAGCTTGTGCTTAGTTGACTGAGGAAGAGGAAGCCAAAGAGGTGATCCTCCCCCTCCATGCGGCACTGGTCAGGCCGCAGCTGGAGTACTGCGTCCAGTTCTGGGCGCCGCACTTCAAGAGGGATGTGGACAGCATGGAGAGGGTCCAGAGGAGGGCCACTCGCATGATCAGGGGACAGCAGGGCAGGCCCTATGAGGAGAGGCTACGGGACCTGAACCTGTTCAGCCTCCAAAAGAGAAGGCTGAGGGGGGATCTAGTGGCCTGTTACAAATTACTCGGGGGGATCAGCAGGCATTGGGGGAGTCACTGTTCCCCCGAGCACCGCCAGAAGTGACCAGGAATAATGGTCACAAGCTGGCAGAAGGTAGGTTTAGGTTAGATATCAGGAGGCGCTATTTCACAGTCAGGGCGGCTAGGGTCTGGAATCAACTTCCAAGAGAAGTGGTGCAGGTTCCTACCCTGGGGGTTTTAAGAAGAGGTTAGATGAACACCTTGCTGGGGTCGTTTGACCCCAGTACTCTTTCCTGCCATGGCAGGGGGTCAGACTAGATGATCTTCTCAGGTCCCTTCTGACCCTAGAAACTATGAAACTATGACAAGTGGCTCATGAACTGTTTTAGGGTAGTTTAACAACCATTTACACTGCTTCAATAATCTCAGTGGATTTCAGTGAGAGCAGAGGCTCTGGCTTTGAGCTTTTAATTTTCACTCTACTTTCGTTTTTCCTTTGCTATGCTGTTTGTTATGATACATATTGGCCTTCTTTCCTATATGTCTCATACAGCATCTGCTGAGTTAAAGCTCAGGATGGTACAAATGTGAAGGCAGGCATAGTCCCCATTCAAGAACAACATGGGGGTTAAGAACACTCTGATGCTTTCAATAGTTTCTTCTGTGGTCATATCTCCTTCTTGTAGGTGTCAAAAATGCTTTGAAAGGAATGATAATGATTTCTGAAAATTAGTGTCATTCTCAGGAATAGCAACCATGCTCTTTAATTTATTGGAAAAGGCCTTTATGAGTTACAGTCATTGCAGGGTCTTTTCAGACTCATGAAACATAATCCTCATCTCTTCGGGTTGAATGCATTTTCTTTATGTAGTGCCTATATGTTAATATCTCATTGTAAATCATTCTCCTTATTATTGCTTCAGCTTGGTAATTTCTTCCAGAAAGATCATTATCCTTATCATTCTACTGTGCTGCTGGCAATATGGCAGGCTAGCTATTATAATATTCAAAAGCTCACTATTCATAATAAGTAATATTCAGGGAAAGGTAAAAAAAATTGTCTCCTCATATTAGTTTGAAATCTTTCTCAGTAACAGCCTGGGTGCTTTTGGAAAGGCATCGTGCTGTGTAGTAATATTCATGGGGGTATTCATCATCTTTACCTACACACACTTGGGGGCAAGTCGCTTATTTTTGTCAATGGTCACATAAAATATAATTCATTTCTCATTATCATCAGTCACCAGAATATGGACAAGTAAGTAAATTTCTGTACCTGCGCACATACATTTTCATAACCATCCATTGAAATCTAAGCAGATTTCAACTAAGCAGAAATTTAACTTTCAAACAGAAGACCCAATTCTGCCATAAGTTCCCCATAAACTAGTGGTATCGGGTCTGTCAGAATATTGGCTCGCAAAACTATAAACATTTGAGCTGAGGAGATAGATGACTTTGTTCTATCAAGCTTCTGTTGTCCTCCCTTCTCCCACATCCATTACTTATAAAACTTGCAAGGTTTTGTCTTAGGACTACAGATGGGTGGGAAATAATTTTCCCATTCTATAACAATTGTTGAGATTTCAAAACATGTTTCACTTTGCATCAGGATAATGATGTTTTTTTGGGGGGGTTTGGAAAAAAAAAAAAAGGTGGGGGAACTCATTCCAATTATATAAGCTCAAGGAAAATAAAAAGACCCCGTTTCACATTTTTGATCCAATTCATTCAGACCTGGAACTTGAACTTCAATTTTCTGTATGAGAGACTAAGCCAGTGTGCTAATGGGTACTCTAGGATAGATGTCTCTCTGCCTCTTGTTGGAGCTGCTCCACTTTGTATAAATAATTAAATATTTATTAGAGCCAGGATTTGAATCGGTCTTCCAGGTTCTAACTGGTTTCCAAACCAGCCTATAAAGTCATCTCTCTTTGTCTGACCAAATCAGGTTGGTGCCTGTGAGACACAATTGAGCACTTTGGGCTTGATCCAAATCTTGTTAAAATCAAAGGGGGTCCGTCTGTTGACTTGAGTAGAATTTTGCATCATATAAGTTTCAAACATAGATACAGGACTGTTGAAATAAGGAATACAGTTTTGGTTTAGATGTATAATATAAGTCCAGATTTCAGAATCTATTTGTACACATATTTCCACCACAGCGCTGGGCGCTTTTTAAAGTGCCCAGCACTGTGGCGCATACATTTGTATAGATGGCAAAATGTGCATCAGCACTAAGAAAATGGTAGTGGCAGACTTTTGAACTAAAACACAATGAAGATTTCAGTACAGAGAAAGGTGCTTGTGACTTAAAATAAAGACAAGAGCCTTTTTGCCTGGAATTTGTTCCTGACTGAATACTACTGTAGGAATCTGTGAATATTTTTCTTTCTTTCTTTTTCCCATGGACACTGTAGGATGCTGGATAATTCGCTAAATGTGATTGTCTACTCTGGTTTTACTACTCATTAATGTGAATTAGTAAAGTTTTACTTTACTGTTACTGTATTAGGATTTGTGATTAATCCCTCTTTGGCTGGAAACCTGCAGGAGGATTTTTATGCATTTTAACAGGGACTGGGCTTTTTAGCAGCCAGAGTGATGACTACTAAGGGAAGGTGAAGGGTTGTTGGTTGTAGCTGTGTTGGTCTAAGGACATAGGCAGACGAGGTTCTTTGGGTAGATGTGATATCTTTTATCAGACCAACTAAATAGTTGGAAGCTCTTTGCAAGCTTTCAGGCACAAAAACCCTTCTTCAGGCATTGGGAAGGTGAAGGCAGCTTCTGTATTGGGATGGCAGCTTTAAATTGCAGCTTTTTCTTTAGGGCTCTATTAGTAGAGACTCCTTGGGAAGCAGGGTAGATGAAGCAGGCCCATGCCTGTTGCCCCAGCTCCTTGGTTATATTACATGGTGTCAACATCACTGTTTAAAGCCTGAAGCCCTTGAGGAACAGACTACATCATGGGGCTAGTCTATATTGGACCAACAGACTGCCAGAGAAGGCCAGACATCCTGATTTTGTGACTCCAGATGTGAATATCTGGGGTAAGACCTGTTGTAGATTTTCCGATAGACTGAGAAAAGGATGAGTGACAGGGGAGAAAGAAAACTCTTGTTTGGGTAGTCCTGTTACAGTCTCTACTGTATGTGATTGAGGTATCTGGTCAGTGAGGATGGAGGGTGAGGGTGGTCCTAAAGCACATTCCAGGGAAATACACTTCAGGTTTACCAGCTGCTGTCTTCATTTGTAGATATGGTAAAGGCCCAGTCCTTTTGGCCTGGAGAGTCCAAGACTCTCTATATAGACAGAGAGAGTCCAAGACTATCCCACAGGTCACAGCCACCCAGTGATCTGAAATGTAACTTAACTGTTGTTAGAGGACTAGTTAAAAATGCACAGAACATGAAGCAATGGTTTCACACTGCCTCAAAGGAAACTGAAATTAAATTTCAGAAGTAACTTCCTAATAGTAAGAACAGTAGGGCAATGGAACAAGTTATGGAAATTGTGAAAGCACCGCCTTAACTGGTGGTTTTTAAGCAATTGTCTGGGATGGCATAGGAATACTGCATCCCACAGGTGACTGGTAGGGGAGACACAGGGGGAAGGATGTGCCCCTGAGACTGGCCCCCGACTCGGCACTGCTCAGCATGGGGCAGTGTTTTTGCCATGCAGGCTGGTGGCATGTTGAGGAGGGGAAGGCACTAAGCTGTGGCACAGAAGTATAGAAATGGATATGGGGCTTTTGGCCCACCCCTGGGCCTGCTCCCGGGCCCGCCCACAAATTGTGCCCCTGCAGACTCAGGAGGCACTAGTTGCTCCTGCATTCAGGCAAGGAGTTGGACAAAATGACCACCGAGGTATCTTCCAACCTTATGATACTATCTAGTAATGGAGGTAGCTAATAACTAAGAGTAAAAGAAAACTGAATTTGATTGTTTGGATATGTCTAGGTGGGTTGGACCCTATAAAACATGAGTTTTCTTATTACTAAAGTATCCTTGGCCATTTCAAGGTATAGCCATTTGATGGTATGCAAATTTGACCTCTTGCTCATAGAACTAAGACTAGGCTACATTTGAGTGTATTGGGCATAGTTTCTGTCATTGTGAATGGGATTACAATATAGATTCAATTTTGCACTAAAGAGATTATAACATTTTATTAGATTTACAAAATGTGTATTGCAAAGCTTGAATTTCCTGTTAAAACCCAAGCTTTGGTGATTCATTACATGGTGGTTTGTTAATACAAAATCTCTACTAATTCTGTGCATCATAGTTTCCATTAAAAACTCTTTATTGAATCTTCTGATTTGACTGGGTGAGAGGCAATGTTAAGTTGCATCCTATACTGAAGATGCATATGTCTTAATACTTGTTTCCAGGTGAATTAAAGGAAGATAATAACAAATCAGACAAGAAAGATCAGTCAAATGTGGGAAATGAATCAAAGACGACAGATGGTAAGGACTTCATTTCTATTACATTTTCCCATCAATATATGCAGTCTACTGCATTCTAGGCAGCCAATAGTTACTGAAAATAAATATGGACAGGCTTGGCTTCATCTTTCTGATTTTCATTGGACCAAATTTCATTCTGAGGCATATCAGTATAAATGCACAATAAATCCACTGACTTCAAAATTTGCAAATTTTTAGCTCATTGTTTATAATCATACATTGCACTGTGCCATTATAAAATCAAGATACCCCTGGTTTAGCTTGCTGGGATTAGTGGAGTAAGCATGCAGAGATGAGCATCCCTGGTGTGTAAGAGACTTATTAAGAACAAGCTGAGAAGGGATATGCCTGAAGCACTGCTTCACTCCATTGATCCCAAATTGTGAAACAGTCTATTGCAGCGGTTGCAAACCTTTTTCTGTCAACGTGCCCCTTGGTCTCAGAGTGAGACTTCACATACCCCCTTTCAATTGTCAAGACATTGTTTTAGGCCCTTCGACCTGTGTTAGACAATTTATGAAATATATCTCATGTACCTCCAGGGGGGTACATGTACCCCTGGCTCAGAAGCACTGGTCTATTGTATATCAGGGCAGATGGGAATAAATAGAAGAGCCCTGAGTCTGCTCTAAGTTATGCCAGGAGTCAAAGTGGCTCCCAGCAGTCCCAAATATTGGGAATGTGTAAAGGTGACTCTAAGACACTTTTACCACTTTTTATATCATCACCTGTATCCAGAGATACGCTGACATAGCTGAGAATCTGGACTCATTGTTTCAGAAGTTATTTAGTAAATACTGGCATTATAAATTGAATCATAACATAATGTTACCTTTTGTTTGTTCTTATATCTCTGTTAAATTTACAGAGCAAATACAGCCTACATATTCAGTGACATCACACAGTACTTAGTTTAGATATTCAAGTACCATGACCCTATTATAATTACTACAGGCAAAGTTTAGAATTATATTAATTGTGCCTTCTAATTCATTGAAATAGAATGTGTCCCTTCAATTGAATGCATATGTATGAATTATCTGATAACCATAACATTATTGTGATAACATTATAATTAAAAAGAATATATGGCTAACCATAAAGTAAGTAATTGATTCAAGGACACATATTAATTACACACACATAAATAAGCAATTTTATAAAATTGTGTTCTGGACAAAGTTTGACTCGCTTGTTGTGTTAGAAAGCCATGTTACTTGTATACTATACCTACTGCCAGAAAACCCCTCATCCATGAACAACTGATTCAAGCTCAGTTCACTACTATTTAGAGGAGCATGCTGTAATCATGACCTGCTGTGTGGTCATAAAAATATCTGTGAATTCCCAAATCTTCATAGATTCATATAATGGGGTATACTCCAAAGTGCAACAGCCCAAAAGGGCTTAATAGACAGAATAGTTACACCCTCAGCTGCTGTTAAGTAACTGACAAGTAACAGCTGGGATAAAGGGCAAGTAAGATCAGTACTGGAGAGGATTGGGACCTCCTTAGAGAGCGTCTTCAGCAACAACTGTCTGCAGAAAAGACCCTACAAGGGGTGGAGTAAGTCAGCTGGGAAGCAACAGTAAGCTGCCTTCTTTGTGAACCCACAAGATAGGGGCAAAATCAAACTTTCTAAGGTCACATCTTTTGGCTCTTGGGATGATTAAAGAGTAGGTGGTATAGGCTGGAGGTCCAGGAGATAGGGATCTGAAAGGGATGGATACCTTTAGTATTCCCTTAGAAGGAGATTGAAGGCATGAAGTCACTATTTGCTATTCATTCCTGAATAACCATTTTTGATCTCCTGTTAAATTTTGGTCATCCAGTTAGGAAGGAGGACCAGTATCCATGATAATCACCTTCAGGAAGTAGTTAAATTTAACAGTTCAGGAACCACCCTCAGAGTCAATGGTTGGGTTTTTTTCACATTCACACTCTTTGGGTACATCTATATAAGACACTATATCACTGTAGCAATGCGCTACAGTGGTGTAGCATTGGTGGGCACAAACTGTGATGCCACAGGTATGTCACCATAGTGACACCACAGCTACATCCTCACTAAAGCATGCTGGTATGGTGATATAATGGCCAAAAATAACAGTACACTGCTGGCACAGCACAGTAATGGCTGTTACTGCAGTGCAGTAACAACGACGCCATAGGGGCATGTGTAGATGTATCCTTTGGGGAATTACAGATGATTGCATGGACAAAAATCATGAAAAAATTGTTAATGACCAGCAAAACAAGAAAAGATCTGTTTTTGGTTCTAGTTTATTTGTGAAATGTAATTTAACTAGATCTATCATTTATTTATCCTGGAACAAGCTTCTTTACGAGCAAAGTGAGAGATCCAGAAAAGTAAATATTAGCTTTGCATATGGTTATATGCTTACAGCTGTGAGCATGCCCTCTTCCACACTAATATATATATTTTCACCTGCTAGAGGAAAAGATGGGGGTGGGGAGAAGAGAGAGAGAGAGAATGAAACTAGGTAGTAGCCCTGTGCGAGTAGCCAGCTATTCGATCTGGTTTTGGATCCAGCCGCTTCGGATAGCTGTGATCCGATCCAGAGCTCTGGATCAGTTTCCTGCTTCAATCCAGCCGAAGTGGCTCTGAAGCTTTGGAGCTGCCTCGGAGATCCGGCCAGAGGGTATAATGGGGAATCAATGAAATATCTATAACTTTGTTGTTTTTTGTCTGATTTGGATGAAACTTGCAGGGGTGGTAGCCTCTGCTGAGAGCATGGAACTTGCCAAGCTTCAAGAAGATAGGTACAGGGTTTTGGGGGGAACTGCACCACAAAGTCTCCCAGCTGTCATCAAGGAGATAGGTGCAGGGCTTCTGGGGCAGTTGATGGTCTATATTGATTATTTTCTCTCCTTAGTCTATGGTTTTGCAGGTGTTAATCAATACAGACAATCAACTGCCCCAAGACAGAGACAGTCAGTTGCACAAGCATCCATGTCAGGAGTTTTGCCTGTCAGCAGCTAGAGGTGCAGGGCCCCAGAACCCCCCTGCACCAATCTCCTTGACAGCTGGCAGGCATTGTGGCCTCAGCTGGGGCTACCATCCCTGCAGCTTTCATCCTGCTACACCTTAACACACACAATATCACCCATGTCACGCGTTTTGCTTGTCCACAGCTTGAGGTGCAGTTTCCCTCACACGCCTGCACTTATCTCCTTGAAATTTGGCAAGCTTCGTGGCCTCAGCAGGAGCCACCACCTCTGCAGTTTTCAGCCCACTGTGGTGTAACACATACATGTGACATGAGTTTTGCTTTCAAGAATTTGGGGTGCAGTTCCTCCCAAACCTCTGCACTTATCGTCTTGAAACTTGGCAGGCTTCATGTTCTCAGCAGAGGCTGCCACCCTTGCAAGTTTAATCTAAATCAGACAAAAACAACAAAGTTAGAGATATTTTATTGATTCCCTATTATATCCTATGGCTGGATCGCCGAAGCTTTTCCAAAGCGGTTTGGAAAGCCTAAAGAAGCCAGCGCTTCCATCTGGACATGCTGCTTTGGATGCTGAAACATCCGAAGCTTCTCTGGATCTGAAGCACGGTCTGAAGACTCGCACAGCCCTACTAGGTAGGTAAAGAATATGTTATGCTGTTGGTACTACACAGTGTGAAGCTTTGTGTGAACTAACTACATTTATTTAACCAGCCTCTCAGGAGGGTATTACTGCTTGGGTTGAGCTCTGTATTACCACAGCTAATTTGCTATTAGTACCCAAGCTAGCTATTTTAGCCAGCTCAGCTATGTAAACCTACCTGCAGACACTAAACTATGTGTAATCACTTGCCTATGATGGGTTGCATTGCAGAGCCATGCTGCACATTCAAATTAAAGCTGGATAGAAACCAGCTACAGAGATATTACACATTTTCAGGCACTAACTTAGTAGCTGATTGGCTCTTTTTGTAGCTGGATAGTCATTTTTATGGTGTGATAACTACTTTGCGCGTGTGGATGGTCTAAATGTATTGCCCAATTAGCCAGTTAATTGTGTGATGCTTTGCACTTGTGGCCAATTCTACTTTGCATTTGTGGCTAGTCTAAATTTATTACGTGACTAACCAGTTAATTGTGTAACATATGCAACATGTAGCAGGGTCCACAGTTTAGTCTTTATATTATTAATAGTGCAATAATTTAAATTGTTGCACCTTGCTTTGACTATATATGTATCACGTATATGGCAACATGGAGCTCAGCATGGGTTGAAAAATCTTTCTAGTGCTTGCATGGCTACCTTGTGAGTACTGACAGATGAGATAAGATCAGTCTGAGTCTTGATAAGCAGCAGCCTCAAGTAAAGGTTGATAGTTTTTCATAGATTCATAGATTGTAAGGCTGGAAGGGACCTCAGAAGATCATTGGGTCCAGCCCCCTGCACCAGACAGGCTAGACAACTGGGGTCAGGTGACCCCAGCAAGGTGACCATCCAGTCTCCTCTTGCAGATTTCCAGGTTAGGTGATTGCACCACCTCTGGAGGGAGCTTATTCCACAGTCTGGACACCGTGACTGTGAAGAAGAGTTTCCTAATATTTTAGGAAGTTTTTGAGTTGGTTCTTCTGAACCTACAAAATGTTGTTGGCGAATTGCCTGCTGTCAGTCACTTAAATGACTGGTTATGAGGAAAATAACTGTGGAGTACATCACTAGTAGGAAAAGACAGGACAGAATGAAGATGTAAAAGAAATAGCACAACTGCAGACAATAAATGGAACACATAAGAAGAAAAAAAGGGGAATGCATGTTTTTAGATTCTAGTGATTAGTGTGGCATCTACATAATAAATGGAATGCATTATGCCAATTAAACTAGGAATAACAGAAAATCATTAGAAAGATGATTTTTGTGTTTTTAATCATGTGGACTTATCCATTTAGTAATAGACATACTGGCTGTGTCATTTCAGAGGCAGTGCAGCAGGTTCATTTATATCAGCACTCTTGGCTAAAGAAACTGCTATTCA